TTGGCCCTACATAGGCTATATGCCACACATATGGCGTGACACTCTTCAGATAAAGTTATTATTATTATTATTATTATTATTATTATTATTATTATTATTATTATTATTATTATTATTATTATTACGGTATCATTGATGTTGTTGTTGTTATTATTATTAGGACAAACATATGCGTCTAGTATTGCACCTTGTTATGTGTCATAGTTCAAAGATAAAAGTGTTTTTTTAATGAAAGCATTGGAACCCGAATTTCATGTGAACCTTGCAAAATGACAAAATTGTAAAATTTTAGTTGTATTTATAAGTATTCCAACGTGTTGGCAAAAACTGCATTGAAGTGTTAAAATAGGCGTGCTTCGTTCTAGTCACCGGGAAGCCGTCAGCACTACCTATTGTTTGTCTTTTGACTCAGTACGCACGACAAATGAACTACAATAGAAGGCGTATACCACTTTGGCTCTTCCAACCAGTACACTAATGTTGCCCAGGTGACCCTACCCACAATTCATTACGACAGAGCAGTGTTCTTGTATGTTTTTATGATAATTGCTGCTGATAGATGGTTTATCATCCATACACCTGGATCAAGCTGAACTACACAAATGGCGAACTGTTAAGCATCCACAAGCCGTTGACATGACAGTTAGTCACTGAAAGCGTACATTTTGATCATTTTATAAGCTATCAAGATGACGAGTGTCATTGGAAAAAGTCGAGGCGAGTACTACGTCGCTGGAAGATACAGACTGGTGCGCAAGATCGGAAGCGGGTCTTTTGGTGATATATATTTAGGAATCAACATCACTAACGGTGAAGTAAGAGTCGCTTTTTCCAAGCCTCTCCTGTTCCAAATGATGAGAAATTTACTGAATATGATACAGGGCGTCCTCTAATTAAAGACTACTTTAGGGACCAATGTTTTATGGTCTTTAGCACCAACTTTCTTTGGTCTTAAATAAAGATAAAAGATTGGAGTTCATCTGGGGCCACAGAAAAGTGGTCTTTATTGGAAGGGGTTGTAGGTGCTGGGGTCGTATTTGTTTGGAGGGAGAACTGTATGTTTAGGCCTATCTGGATGATGTTCAAACCAACGAAATGACGTATAACTATAATTAGAGAGGGATAAACATACCTCCCTGGTATGTTTTCAGAATATCCGAGGGAATTGTTTATTTGGAATCTGGTACTAAACCAATTCACACGAAGGAATTAGTTTGGAAGTGAGATGGGCTGGTTTAGGGCACATAGAAAAAATTATTAGATTATTACTCTTTCAACAAAAAAAATCGATGAGGGAGGGCGGTTTTTGTTTTTTTTAATCGGAACAATAGATAATTTGGCTTCTGCTTTATCGATGAGGGAGGGACTGTTTATATTTGGCTAGTAATAGTAAATATAGTATAAAAAGTGGTTTAATTTTATAGTTTTTAAAGAAAATGTATTTAAAGTCACAAAATTGCATTGTTATTTTTATGCTGTTGAAATAATTGATGTGGCAAAAAAAAGTTTTTTTTTAAATTCCTGCATCAATATTTCCCGTATTTTTGATGCGAGTAGGAGTGATAGTCTTATAAATTTTTCTATTTGCCCTTGGATTGGATTGGATTTATTCGGTGTAAACACTAGGATAGCCCACGAAAGTCTAGAATAAGGCTTATTTCCAGTGGGGTCCTTTAGGTGGTGATTGGGCAGTACACCGTTAGTCAATCACCTACTGTACTCTTTTCCGAAGAGTGTACTGCGTTCTTTAACGTGCACATGGGCCATAATGCACATGGGACCAACGGCTTAAACGTCTATTCTGAAAGACGGTGCGCTATTGTAACTTGTATTTCAGCCCTCTAGCTGAAACACAAGGAGAGGCAGCAATGGGAATTGAACCGGGGACCTAGAGATCTCCACGGTTCAGCGCACACACAGCGGCTA